TACTTAATGATATTGATTGCCATGAAAATAATTCTTTTAATATCTTATACTCATGTTTCTATAATTTCCCTTCTTTAATTATTAACCATTCCATCTCAGCAACTACTCCTAGATCATACTCTAGGAGTATGATCATACCAATAAATGTGACTTCTTAATAATCCCCTATTCCTGAGTCTCCCTCTCTGACCACCAGTTCCTGTCTTCTAGTTTGCACACTCGAATACAGAACTGCACCTGTCTTTTGACCCTATGAGATCTACAATTAATTTCTCCTGCATGATGTTCGCTATCGTTTACACCTACAGATTCTGCCTTTCCTTCTCAGCCTATTTGCATTTCATAACACATCTTTATAGCTATTCTTTCTATTTACCCTCAATTACTGGACTTTTCTCCACTAGTCTTATTTGTATGTCAAAAATCAACCCTAGTTAAATCTAATCCTCTGGGGGTTTGGCGTTAACTTCCATGCATTTGAATGTGGCTAAAGGAAAAAACAAACAAACATGAAGACACCCTGCAATTGTCAATCTCCAAACTCCTCTCTAATCATCATTTTTACCTACTTCACACCACAGGAAGAAAAAAAATTGTAAACTTCTGCAGATACTTCTACCCACAAACCTGTATTTATACCCATATGTTCTGCCTTCTCTCCTCTTATTACAGATGAACTATTTTAGCAGTAATGTAACTGACAAAGGGGAAGGAAAAGGTGGGACATCATGTTAGTAAGATCAGTAAAATTCTGATTGTCTATGAATCACATTTAAGGAATTTGAAATATCTCTTGTATGTTTTAGGATTTGAGAAAGATCATTAATCCATTTGTCAGATCAAACAGCACCGTCCACCAGCACTATTGGTGGTAGTGGAAATGTCTATACCTGCACCATCTAACACTGTAGCCAGTAGCCACAAATGCTATTGATATCTTAAAATGTGGCTAGTATGATAGAGATACTGTGTTTTGTTATTTGTACTTAATTTTCTTTTTTAAAAATTTAAACAGTCACATGTTACTACTCTTTTGGACATCATAGTTTTGAAAGGGTAATAGATTGTCAAAGTCAAAGTAAAATGTAGAGACAAATCTCTAATTTAAACATTTTATTTGGGAATCACAGATTTGGGATTTGGGGCCTGTTACAATTATCTTCAGTGTGTCCAAAGAACAAAGAGAAGTTTAGGGGGTTTTATGAAAAGAGAAGTGTTCTGTATTGATTTGAAAGAAAGCACATTGGCACTACAGAAGCTTTGGGGAGCTAGCAAGCTCAGATTGATGAGAAATGGTGATTAAAACCTATCATTTCAGCAGCTACTAGGTAAAACTGGTCTTAGTGTCAGAGCAGGCCATTTTAGCAGCTGGCTTTATGGAACATTAAATTCTTGGCGTGGGTGCTATGTGCCCTGAGTGCTTTTTTCCCTGGCTCCCTGACTCTGATTTAGTTGAGTATGACAAGAGTGACCCAGTTCATATAAATCAACTCTCATAAGGTAGAATGCTGAAGACTTGGAAAACATGAAGACCAGTTTAGGAAGCTGTTCCATTAGCCTAGATGAGAACATCAGAGTTCCAATGTGTTCCAAAAGTTCCAGAGTGTCCAAAATCTGAACATTCTGAAAAGTCTTATATTTTCCTTACTGGGAAAATATAAAAATATATTTCATTCAGTGAGTAAGATACATTACTCCCTTTCTAAAATCTGAATTTTTTAAATTCTGAAACCTGATATCTGGTCCTTAAGAATTATGGATAGGCATTGGAAACCTGTAGTAAGTTGTGAGAATGGAAATGGGGGGGGGACTTTAGTAGCAAAATTATTAAACTTTGGCTCTCTTATGGTATTGAGAAATAAGGGGTAAAGTAGCATGAAAAAATACTTTCAGTTTTTTAAGTTCAGGTTAAGGGTTGATGGTTAGTGTTAAAAACTAAGTGTCCCTAGAATAAGGATGGATTTGGACCTGAGAGGAGAGGTCTAGAGATATAATCAGTTCTATTTCATAGGTTAGGGTTTAGCTCTCTTTAGTATATTAAGATTATTACGCACTTGAATATTCTGTCATATCCCTTTTCCTCTGTATGCCATTCATTGGGATTAAATAGATTTTTTAAAATCAGAAGATACTAATTTTACTTTTATCTAATAAAGGCTTTCATTATGAACTTATTTATCTAACAATGGTTTTCATTGTGTCTCATCAAACACACCCTTTTTACAATAAATATTATGCAACACTTTCTTTACTACTTTGTAATAAAATTCAAAATACATATAACTGTCTACATACATAAATTTCTAATTATAATAATATACTTATAATATGAAACAGAAACAAAAGGGAGATGATAATAAAGAAGCAAGTTTTTCAATAGGTAAATGCTCAAGAATAAATACACAAGAAAACACGATGGAATAAAGAGATGCTTTAACCAATGACCTTGTGCCAAGCTACAGATGATAACTGATACTGATAATATATAGTAATCAAATGTTTATATTGACTCACATGCAATTCTAGACATAAAGTTAATTTTCTCATAATTTATGAAGCAAAGCAGTTGAATCCCTAGACAATTCAGTATACGTGAAAAGTACAAAGATGTACAAAAGTACATGTACAAAAGTACAAAGTACAAAAATGTACTTTATATTCATGTGTAAAATCGCCACCAGGAATGGTAGCATGTGTGTATATACTTTTAGCTCAGAGGGCTGATGGACACCGCAGAACCTTTTTTTTTTTTTTTTTTTTTTTTTGGTAGAGACAGAGTGTCATTCTATTGTCCTCAGTAGAGTGAGTGCTCTGGTGTCACAGCTCACAGCAACTTCCAACTCTTGTGCTTAGGCGATTCTCTTGCCTCCACCTCCTGAGTAGCTGGAACCACAGGTACCTGCCACAACGCCCAGCTATTTTTGTTGTTGTTGTTGTCATTGTTGTTACAGTTTAGCCAGGGCCGGTGCCCTCCTCACTGAACCACAGGCGCTGCCCTACACTGCAGAACTTCTACTAGAAAAAAGGCATATATAAATACAAAAATGACTACTTGAAATTTTACTCTTTTTCTTCCTTCTGGTTTCCAGTGATAGTGTAGTTTTTGAAAAATTAGCTAGTGCAATACAGTCTTCCCATAGCCATTCCTTGCAAATTCAGATGCACACATTCATTGAAAAAAAGGAAAAGAAAAAGAGTCTTGATTTTTTAATTATTGTAGGAAAATAAGATGTATCACACATGTACCACATTTTCTCTATTCTCCCTACAGAAGAAAAGATGGTTTGTAATAAGGAAAAGTTAATAATTGCATGCAGCATTGCATAAGTAGTAATCATACCTTCCAAATTTTCTGTTACAGTGTGGATTTTTAAAAATTTTATATTATGTCATAATAAACGTACATATTTCTCTCAAATCATATGTTCCCATTTTTAATTTGAAATTTATGTGTCTCCTTTGTACTGCTATCATCTGATTCTAAAGTAATAAGATCCTACATTTAACAGTTTGGTTACTCTATCTTCACAAATTTGCTATACACACTCAAAAATTATTTTGAGATGTATTGAAATGGTGTTTTAAAGACACTGTTCTTTTGTGAATCTTCTGTACATCTCTCTCATTCACAATTGGATTTAGAATCTGCTTGCCTTTCCTGTGAAACATAACATATCATAATTATGTATTTTTAAAATTTTCTTTAAGGTCATCATAATATATTGACAAGCACAGAGAGAGGTTTACTATTAGGAGGTCCTTGTTATTTTTTAAGAGCAAATCCTAGGATACAGTTATACTGTACTTCTTTCACAAAGTGTGAAAGAGAGAAAAAAAGAGTAAATGAAAGCAATAGAAAAAGTAGTGAGCTTTTTCATGTGCTGAAACAGAAGAGTAAGGTCAATATTTGTCAGACTGACGCATTTGCTAAACCATCTCCCAAGTAACCTTTTCCTGTTTCCTCATAAATGTATGATGTATGTGTTCTTTATAGATCTGGCTCACTGACAAATTCAATCTTCTGTTTCTTAATTTAGCTAAAACTGCTATTTTCTGGCTTAGAATATGTATTTTCTTAGAAATTTAAACATTGTCTTTATTTTGAATACCAGCTATAATCATTTGCTTGGGTAGAGAGGTTCTGTTTTGTTTTGTTTTTTTCCAAAGTAAACAATGTTTACTCACTTCTCGAAAAATGACTTTTGGGGAAAATAGAATATCTGGCATCTGGGCCTTCATTCCTGCATGATAATAATATACTTGGCTTGAGTAGCATAATCCTCTCTAGATGTGCCCTACACCCCCCTATGTGCTGTCATTTCTAGCACTCTGTTATTTTTAGGTGATTGAATTTCAGTTGACATTTATTATCTTTTCTGGCTGGACCCTATCATCTTTTGAGTTTATGATTTCAGGTCTTCAGGTTAAAGTGCAATTTCAGTTTCAGTTTGTTTTAGTGTTAATGTTTTTGATTGATGCTACAGTTTTTTTCATAGTTTAAAACCTATTACTTATATGCAAGGCACATAATGTCAACCACATCTTTCTGCAACTTATGCTGTATTATTATGAATTTGATAAATTAATACTGCTTTAAATCAAGGTGCTATTTCATACCATAGAATGTTCAGAATTAAAGGAGACTTTATAAAGGATTTGATAAATTTTTCAGACTGTACTCGAATCTGCATACAACTCGCCTCCTTAAATAGATGAAACATAGGAAGATTCAACATTTACCAAAACTTGTAAATTTGGGTAAGACAGAATTAGGCTAGTTCTCCACGCCCTACTCCAGTCATCCAACCCATACTCTAATACTCTTTCTTAGTAAATATATTCCCTGGGGATAAAACGGCACATGTAAAAACATCTTTAAAAACAAGTATATTTTATATTGAGACTTCCACAATTTTATTCATCATGTTTTAAATTTAATATTTAAAAATATTACTCTCCCAAGGTAAATTATTCTAATTTACCTATTTTATTTCAAACAGATCATGTTGTCTGTGAAGAAGAGTTTAAATACGCCATGTTAGCTTTAAACTGTATATGCCCAGCAACATCTACACTTATTACACTACTGGTTCATACCTCTAGAGGGCAGTAAGTATATTTTTTCTTAAGATAATATATTTTAAATTATATTTTAAAAATTTAAGTGTAGTTATGTGATTTGGAAATACAGTAGCCAAGGTGTGTAGCTAGATATGTAACTATTTGTATTTGTGTGGATTATTTTTATCTGATAGATACATACATGTTTAGGAGTCCAAGACATATATAGAAAATTAGCAGTGATTTGCTGTCTTTTCTCAGTAAATTTAAGATAGTTTGTTACATTCTCAATTCTAAGCGTGTGCATCATTTGTTAGGCGTAAGGTTAGGGCACAGTTTCTATTTTCAAGGTTAATACTTATGCAGAAAATGAAAATAAATTCTTTAAATCAAAGTAAGAATTCTGACAGAGGGTAAGAATTTAAAACCATTTTTTCTGTTCCTGGGGTAAGTTTTATATTAAAGCTCTATATACATAATTGTTCTCAGAATTACAATTTTTCAATTATTATGGAATAATAGCAAAGTACATGTATAAAATTAGGGAATAGTCCAATA